TACGACGGTTAAATAGGTTTCTACGGACATATATAAGAGTTTCTACGGTCACTGTATTAACACAAATCGGTTAAAAAAAAACTACTGTCGTTTGGAAAATTTTTCTCGGAACTTGTCGCCGGTTTTTATTGTACATCCGTTTACCATTTAAGGTAAGTCGAAATTAGTGCCGACTTCTCTTTTGGATCGAAGTCGTCTGTTTATTTCCGCCGTCTGTTCATTTCTGCCGTTGGTCGTGGATAGGTATTTGGCCGTACTAATTTCTTATAATTTGTAAATAAATATCTTTACGGGTTCCAAGTTCCTAGCCGTTTGGGTTTCTACATCGGTTTTTATAAAAATCGGACAACACCGAGTAGATATTTCCAAAGTCGGACAAAAATCGAATACCCGTTTCCAAGTTTCTAGTTGCTGTGAAATAGAGATCTGTACTTTTTTTATTTATTAAACGGACTTGTATAGTGTTTAGGCGAACTATTTTGGAAGTATTATCTCGTAAAACGGAGTTCAAAACGGAGTTCAAAACGGGTTGTGTTTTTTTAGAGAACTTTGTCGGCGGCTAGATTTTTGAAACTTTTTTAATTACACTATTAGGTCTACAGACTTCAATTGCAGACTTAGTTGGCTGACTTCTTGTGCAGACTTCTTCGGAAGTCTTCATAAGTAGACTTCTTGAATATTGGACTTCGTTTTGCAGACGTCAGAACAGCCAATGGAAAACCCAGAGTTCCCCCCGCGTCTCTTCTCGAAAGGCGATGAGCCGTCTCCGCTGAAAAGCATCGGTTACTATAGCGGTGAGACGAAGCTGATGACTGCACTCGAGGAAGCACTCACACAAGATGAGTGGGAAGAGATATTGAACTCTAGACTGGGAGTGTTCTTGAAGTTCAGTCAGTTGGATTTCGGCTGGGCATCTAGACTGGTGCATTACATTCTCGGCATGCAGCTAGTTTGCAAGAAAAAATTTGAGATTTGGAGCCTCTTAGGTCTAATCCCGATCCGTTTTTCTTTGAATGAGTTCGAACATATTACTGGCTTGAATTGCGAGTACGTGGACAACCTCGAGGATCCGGTGGTTGAGATAACTGATGAGATGAAAGATTTCTGGGAGCGATTGGGAGTCAATCAGGAGTTGGGCCCGAGCACTGAAGATTTGATAGAAGCTTGTAAGGAATGCGGGTCGTGGTCTTCCGAGGATCGGTTGAGGCTGGGATATCTTAGCATTTATACTAGTTACATTGAAGCACGAAAGCCATCTTCAGCTACTCGGGCTAGGTTGGCAAGGCTTGTGATGGATTTAGAAGCGTTTGAAAACTACCCTTGGGGAAGAGTGGCCTTCAAAAACCTGATGCGGTCGGTGAAGGAGAAAGAAATTTGGAAGTCGTCGTACACCATTGAGGGGTTTGTTCAAGTACTACAAGTCTGGGTTTACTTTGCTCTTCCCGACTTTGCTGGGAAATTGAAGACGATGATGAAGAAGACGAGAGGACTGACAACATCATCAAAGCGATGTATGGTCATTTTGGCCCTAAAAAATGGACATGGGAAAGGAGTCATTGGCCTCCAACAGGTGTGACCAAGTATGTCAAGTCCGAAGGGTCTGTCGATCTGAAGAGGCGATCGAAATCAGTTGGTGACCAAGGAAGTCGGAAGCGGTTCTGCCCAGCCTCTGGTGAGGAAGATGAGTCAATGGTCACGATTCTGAAGGACCACATGGACGACTGCTTCAACAAGATGATGGATGGGTTGAGTAGTTGTGAATCTCAGATCAAACTACTCAACACAAAGTTGGGAACGGTGGAGCAGAAATTAGAGGCAGTGATCCTCCAAGCTGGGACCGGAGGTACAAAGGAGGATGTGGCTCAGACTGGTGAAGCAGACGCCGAGGGCGCAAAACCTGTTGGCGACGATCAAACGGACGCGGACGCCGATCCTAATATCGGGGTTAGTCCAAAACCCGCTCCAAAGAAAAGAGGAAGGAAACCACGGAAAAAATAAAATTCCATATTTGTTTTCAAACTTCTCATCGAACCTTACCAATCTGTTTTAAAACCTTAAAAATGTTGTCACCACTAGATATTAAATGTTTTTATTTGTACTCTTTAATGTTTGATGTTTGGTTTCGTTTCATTGATGTGTGTTTAAATCTTTATATTTGCAGAGTAATTTTATGTCTAAGCAAAATGAACAAACTGATGTCCCAAGTGAGAGCGTGAACGATGGTAAGCAGGGAACTCCAGAGCCAAGCGTCGTTATGGTTGATCCAGAAAAATGCGACATCGACTTCGATCAGGTCCAGAAAGATAAACACGAGAAAGGCAAGAAGGCGGCACAACTGGTTGCTCGTGCGAAGAGTGAACGTCTGCGAAAGTTGGCTCCTACACAACAAAGCCCTTTCAAACCCAACAGCACAGCGAAGGAAATAATCCCAAACAAAAATGTCCGAGGGTGCGGATATGATCCGTTTGATATGAAACACGTGAAGCAAAAGATCGGTGTGCTAACTGATTGTCTGAAAAAAGATCTGTAAGTCTTTGTTTTAGAGTTAGCATAAAGCAGACTTTCCATTGTAAGAGTAGTGGATGATATTGTAAAATGGTGGTGTTTTCAGGAACTATCTGAAGCGGGTAAAATGGTCATCCGTGGACTGGTACTTCATTCTAAGAATTCCAAAACAATGGCTAGCAGACACTGTAAGTTACGCGAGTGTATATATGATATGAACACAACATATTACTCTCTGCTTGAATAATTGTTTTCATTGAATATGCAGCATATGGAAGCTGGGATTAACCTACTCAGACTGCGATTTACAAAGCATCCTGAGTGGTTTAGGTCGGACAGGATAACATTCCTCGATTCTTACTTTGCAACAATGTGGAGGTACAAGTACAAGGAGTTCGTGGACTCTCACGCCAACCCTGATGGTTCAGGCAAGCTCCTTCCAGCTGGCTCGTTCGGGTACTTTACTGGCGCAGCCCCAACCTACTGCGTTAGTAACAATGTGGATTTGTACTCGATGTTACACATCACTGATGATCACTGGGTGGCAATGTGGATTTCGATTCCGATGAAGCATATTGTCATTTGGGATAGCCATGCGAATACTCATGCATCGGATATTCAGATTGAGGCTGTTGTGACTCCGATTACCGTCTTGGTTCCCTACATACTCCGTGAGTGTGCACCTGCTGAAGACCGTATCAATCTGCCATATGATCCATTCCCGTGGGAGCGAATCAAGGGGCATTTGATCCCACAAAACAAACAAAGCGGTGACTGTGGCGTTTACTGCTTGAAGTACCTTGAATGCCATGCTCTAGGGATGCCATTTCCGAAGACCTTGTGCGATGCAAACATTAAAAACATCCAAGACAAGCTGGCAGCTGAGATATTTGACGAGACAGGAGTAACCGGCACAGAAAAGTATGAGTATCCATGGCTGGACGTATACGAAGGTAAGTGATATGTCCAACTATGTATATTCTGTAATGAAAGAGAAAGGACTCTGCGATGTTGCTCGTCTTTATATTGTATCTATCACCTGGAAAGTGAACTCTTGACCACAACTGAATGCCTGCCTCCTCCAGGTACGTTGCAAGGTCAGGTTTTATATGCCTTATCTCGTCCATATAATGGTTAAAATCATGTACCGTATATGCATACGCAACACGTTTGACTAAGTACATAAGATGCTTCCCTTTAAACTTAGTGACAATATTGTGTTGCAGATGATAATAGCATATACCGCGTGTTACCCATGGTAATACAGTCTCACATGCCTTCTTAATGGAATGATGCCGGTCTGAAACTATCACCAACAGATACTCGTCTGTAAAACACTCCCGCAATTTTCTAAAAAACTATTCCCATGCGTGATCATTCTCAGAGTCCACTATTCCAAAAGCTAGTGGAAATATCTGGAAGTTACCATCTTGTGCTGTGGCCACTAGCAGAGTCCCTTCATACTTTCCAGTCAGATGACACCCATCGACAACAATGACCCGTCTGAGATATTGAAAACCAGCTATGGAGGCTCTGAAGGCTAAGAATAGGTACTTGAACCTATTCTGACTGTCGCGTTCAAAGGCAGTTATAGTACCCGGATTTTCTTCAGCGATCAGACGCAAATAAGAAGGCAGTCGGCTATATCCATCCTCAGGGCTTCCCCTCACACATTCTTGTGCATACATCAAAGCTCTATACGAAGTTGTGTAGTCTATTTTCAATTGAAACATCGCCTGCATTGAATCTTTGATGTGTTCTGCAGTAATCCCATCAATTATTCCCACACACTCTATAAATAACTTTCCAATGTATCTTGGAGTCGTATGCTTTCGGTGAGCCAACCGATCTGAAACTGAACAGGTATGAGTTTTGACATATTTAGTGACCCAAAACGTCTTTGCTTCGTTCTTTACAGCTGCTCTAACTCTCCATTGGCATCCTTTAACAGCACATTTAGCAACAAACAGACGTCTCGATGACTTATCAACTCTGAATGCAAACTTCAACATAACAGCCGTCAACCTGATCTCAGAAATCAGGTCGTCTTTTGTAGCAAAACTTCCGTTTACTTTTATTTTGTCAACCTAATTTCTTTCATATCCTCTTTGAGGAGCCTTCACCGGTTCTTCAATCCACTCACCCTCTGAATCAGAATTTGAATCCTCATCCTTCACTTTCCCATATTGGCTGTAGTCCTGACCCTCAGAGTCAGTACCGTCTTCCTCCTTTACTGAATCGTTTTTGATGTCCTCGTTTATCTCATCATCATCATACTCATCGACATTTTCATCTTCACCTTCCTCAGTATTTTGATTCCCACCTTCAACAGAACACCCATCAGCAGCATCAACACCACCAGTACGTCCATCATTGTCCTTGCGACTAGATACACAAAGACGTATAACATGCGTCTTACTCAACCCAATCAAGCTCTGTACTTGTCTATCATTAGTAATATGCATAGGAGGGGTATCCGGAGCCATGTTTGCTAACATTGAATCTGGCAATGCATAAGTGATAGACACGCTGTCCGTATTTCCATCCAGCATGTAATCATCTAGAGCCATAGCTACGAGTTCTCTATGTGTACAACCATCATTCAAGAAGAACAACCTCCCTCCTTTGCGATTATCCACCTCAAAATGCCACGACTGAGCACTCATAACCCATTCTCCAAATACAACAGGCAACTGAGCCGCCATCTGCAAAAAAGGTAAACCACACAAGATAAACCGTGTTATCCAAGTAACATATAGAAGTCTGCTATAATCGGCTAAACGTCTAAACATTCAAAAAAATTCATCACTTTCTAATTATAACACATATCAACGTGAAACTCACGTATATGGAACCAAGAAAGGCAGATCAACATGTCCAAACAATATATTTATTTTAGCATATACCATTAATTCGAAAACAAATTTTTTGTTAAAATAATTAGGCAGACTTCAAGTGTTGTCTGTTGTGTTATTCTCCTTTGCCAGGCAGACTTCAGAGGCAGACTTCTGCTAATATGTGCCAATTACCATTCAAATCTACAAAAATTATAACTATTAATGTATAACACATAAGCATACAAAATTAATACAGGTAAAGGAAATATACCTTTTAAACAAGAATAAAAATTTTTAAAAAAAATTTCATCACACAAAAGTTTTTAAAAAGTGCTTTTTAAAAACGAAAAAAATGCAGACTTCCAGCAAAACTCCACCCGGTTGCTTTCACGAAGAAGTCTGCCAAAAAGGCAGGGTTACTTTTGCAATTGACCAAATGTTGGACTTTCGTAGTAGACTTCTTTTGAAGTCTGCTGTAAGAGGCAAGAAGTCTTCTGTTAATGTGCAGTCTGCTGACGAAGTCTACACTACCAACGAAGTCTGCTGCAGGTTATTTCTGCAATTGACCAAAGTTTGACTTTCGTAAAGAAGTCTGGTGACAGCAGACTAAGAAGTCTGCTATAAATTAAATTCGTAGCTGACTTCTTTAGACGTCTGCTCGAACAGCCAAAGGTGGTCAACATCTTGGTCAAATGCAAAAATAACCTTTCAGGTCAAACTTATCTTTTTCAGACGTCTCCACGAAGTCTGCAGAAAAGGTCAAAGTATAATATTTTCCGGTCAAATGCAAAACTATTCTCGCTTTTCGACAGCCTGAAATAGAAGTCTAAACGTTGTTTTTTTGTATTCAAATGAAAATTTGCAGACTTACGAAGAAGTCTACTTTCAAAAAAATACCAAAAGGTCAATTGTAAATCTAACCTTTTACGTTGACTAGCAGACTGTAAAAGAAGTCTACTTTCGCGAAACATAGCCCAATGTTAAAGAAAATATTTAGATGTTTACCTCCTTCCAATTTGAATTCGATTAACTTTGACAGAAGTTCAGAATTTTTGAGATGCACGGAAAGGAAACCAGCCCAAAACTCGGTTATCCAAGAATCTCACAAAATATATGATTTGCGAATTCAAACATAACAATGTCGACCAAGAAAGAGATTTTTAGATGAAACCAGATAGAAATTTGAAGATAGAATGAAGTTTGAGCGGCCAAATAAGCATTTAGAGCTTCAATTGCAGATGGGCAAGCATTAAGAGCTTCCATTTTAGTTGGTAATGGTAGTTGGCGAAATTGAAGATGATGGCATTTTCGTGAATACTTAAAATATCTTAGGATGGTTATGTCTTTTTCGAATTACCTAAAAAATTCGATAATTATAAATATAATGGCATTTATGTTATTATATGTGGCTTTACGGAGAAAGTGGGGAGAAATTGGCTAATATTGAAGAGGAAGAAAAAAGAGGTTAGATTTGTATTTAACTTCAATTTTGAGATCATATGTGCAAGAAGTCATTTTCTTTATGTGGTTTTAAAACTTGATATTAAAGTTTATTATTTTATTATTTTTTTAAAAAAATTATAATTCTAAATTGTAAAAGTGACACATATCACTTTCATATCAATTGAAATGTGTTACTCATAGAGAGAAAGTTAGCCATCTGTTATATATAGGATATAGATAAACATAGTTAAAAATGATAATGATTAATTATGAATTTATGAAGATGTAGTAAAAAGAAGCAGGATTAGCTAACCCACTTGGTTGGTCCAATTTGTTGTATGCGTCTTCCGAACCGTCTGTCTGTTACTTCAACTACCTTATTAATAAATATTTAATATGTTCCTATTATATATATTAATATACGTTTGCTTTCTGAAAAATGCATCCTTCAACTTGTGAATAATACGATATACAGTGTATTTCTTTCTTTTGACATATTTGAGGTCATTCCATTTAATACGGTCATCTATATACTAAAAAATCCGAATTAGTTCGAGACTTACTAATAATAATTACTGGAATATGCAAATTGTATTACTATTAAGTTGATGTGCTTATGGCCAAGTGCCAGACCAAACTATATAGCTATCATCCTATGTTTTTCTAAATAAAGAATGATAACGAGAAGTTGATATTTCTGACACAAATGATGTGACTTCTATTTATGGGTTCCAAAAGTTTCAGATCTATTCATTTATGGTTCAGAAATTTTCCAAATTGAACACTTAAAAATCTCGCACTTTTCTCATAAATCAGAAACAGAAGATGCACAGTCCTTTTTGAGTTCACTAGATCTTTAAAACAAAAACCAAGCTTTATTTATTTTATTATTTATTGTTTTCAACCAATCTTTATTCGTTTCTTATGATTAGTATTATATGAAGGAAAATATAGCGGCAGCAAAACATTAGACTGATAAGTGATATGGAAGCAGATTCTAAATCTTGGCTTAGCTTGCAGTCTCCAGTTTCATCACAAAACTGTGGATCACAAAGTCATAACCAAACCTCACAACCCTTAATACAAAGTAGTTACAAAATGGTTAGTTAACTGACAACCAATAAAAAAATGGTTAATTTGTTCCAAAATAAACTGATAACCAATTAAAAAAAAAAATTGGATAGATATACTGTAGTTCTAGCTAAATTTGACAACAATATGAGATGTACAAATGCATATATACTTATCGTGCACATTAGACATTGCATATGTATATTCACAAACACACATATACATGTATTTTATATTAACACTCAAGACTCAACAAGTAGACATAGAGCCATAATTTTTGCTTGGATTGTAGTTGCATCACATTATCCTCTTTATCTGTCTTTTTATATCTTTTAAGTTATATATCTCTTTCTGTTATTTATATTATGTATCACTATATAACTACTTATATGTATATTAGGTTCTGATTATGATGTGTTTCTTATCTTTCAAGGAGTATACACACTGATTGATGGCAAAGTAACTATCTTTCTATTTTAATTATATTATTCAAGAATTATTTGAAAAGTATTTTGGAAAAGACTAAGATGATAGGATCTAGATACTTATCCTTAGAGTGGTGGTACAAATTTTAACTATTCAGAGATAAAACACTTAAATTCTTTATCGTAGTCTTCGTCATCTGATATTGAACAATATACTCTATATAAAATATAATAAAATCAATTACAGATGAGTGAATTGGTTTGTCCTTTATAGATTATTCAAGTTTTCTACCAATTTTTGATGTGGGATATTATTCATAATACTTACCTATACATATTTTTGGTTTCAAGATTATATAAAATATTGTCATCAAACATGAATAATGGGTAATGGCATAAATAAAGTTGAAATACATGAATGAAACAGCTAGTTAGGAAGCGAAAGGAGGTATGTGGTAAAGTGGAGTGAGTGAGAAGTAAGAGAGTGAGGTGTAGTTGTAGTGTTCAAG